GTCAACAATTAGTTTTTAAAATATAAACATTTAAATGGTGGCAAAAACTTGATGGATTTATTCAAACGTAAATGAAACATTGAAGAACAGTAAACATTATAATGAATATGTTATATGGTGCATATATTTAGCAAAATGCCCCTCTCTACAGTTTATTTTTCTATCAGACTAATGAGTTTATGGTCACCGAGCATGTTTTTCTGAGGTAAATGTGACGTTACATTAATTGTTTACAAGCCGTTATATTGACGTCTTTGCGCGGCTGAAACACTGATTGAGAGATTACATGAGACGGGATACGGATTGTAAAGTTATACTCTTTCTTTTGACTTACCTTCGGATGTTTAGTCATGTTTATTTTGTGCTATAACTAGTAATAAAGCAGAGGAGATGATCAGGTCACTGAGGCGCTACAGCGATCTGTCACTCCACATTAAACAGCGCCAAAACAGCATTTATTGTTTGAATACTGCAATACAATGGACATAAATTGAAACCTGAGACTTTGTTTCATATTAAAAGCACCAAAGCACAATGTTTATTGCGATTTATTGGATGGGAGATGCACTTCAATGTTCCGTCCATTAACTGAAAACAGGCTAGAATAATAGATTCTTGAGATTTTAAGAATCGATATCGTTCCATAAAAAAGAGAATCGATTGATATCAAGATATCGATATTTTTTACCAAGCCCTATTAATAAATGAGTCATTGTGATTGAACCGAATCATTTAAACGAGTGATTCATTCAAGAACGAAACACCCTCATGTTGCTCAGAGACGCAGAACAGCGCTGTGGCTGTGTTTGGGATTATTTTTGTTGTTGAAATAGAGCAAAAACAGGCAATATAGTGTCTAAAACATAAGTCTCTTAATTAACTTCTTGTTTATTGAACTGTTGTAAAACATCAATATTACGTTTGTAATCATGTTCATCTTTGGCGAAAACGGCACACTTTGTGTGATATTGATGTAAATATACACATTTTCTGTCCCCATGTGTTGAATGTTGTGATCGTTCTGAATGTATTTTATTAGACTGAATCATGCAGTGAAAGAACACACTCGCTCTAGTCTAGACTTCACGTAATGAAAGCGTGCGCTCTGTAGCGGTGTTTCGAATGGTTTTTGGTTCTGACTGTGGTCTTCTGTGGCGTGTCCGTCAGCATCGAGCTGGACGAGGCTCCTCTGGTGCAGACGGCGGCCAGTCTGTTCCGGGAGATGTGCTACAGGTACAGAGAGGAGCTGATGGCCGGGATCATCGTGGCCGGCTGGGACCCACGCAGAGGAGGACAGGTACAGCTTCAGCAGCAGCGGAGGAGTGGCTCATCTGAGCGTGTGTGTGTCAGGGCTTAAAGGTCTCCGGCGTGCGCGTTTGGCTGCGGGGAAAAAAGCTAGTCGTCCTACATTTAAAAACACTTGTTGATGTCACGTTCGAGTTCATGAGTTCGTCTACCAATGTATGAGAGGAACACCGCTTTCACTCTCAACCAAACTAACGTTACTAGCCAATCAGAAGTTTTTGCTCTTATAAACACGAGACGCGCATTAGCTGATGATTAGCATTAGACTGGGTCTCGAGCGCGACACGTTGAAAAAGCTGCGAGGCGCAGTGGTCAAAGATTTCCATCTAGCGTCATATTTACATAGAAAAGCTATTAAAAAAGCAGCGGAGCTTTGTAAACCGCGCAGAGTAATCACGTCATCTCCATAAGAACGATATGATTGCCAGAACTAATTTACCGGGGTTTTTGAAAAGGTCGTGTTCACACATGATCTCCTAACGGTAATTTACCAGTGAAGACTGTATGTGTGAAAGGGGCTGAACTCTTGCTCTGCATCCGCGGTGAGTTTGGGTTGCTTAACGTTCATCTGGGAAAACTCTCTTGATTTGTAACGTAAATCATTTGGACAAAGCTAACCAGCAAAACTTGATATTAAAAGCATCCTAAATGTTACATGTGTTTGCACCATATTGTAGTGAGTAAACATTCCTGGTATTGCTGTGTGTGTGTGTGTGTCCAGGTGTACACGGTGCCGGTCGGAGGGATGATGACCAGGCAGCCGGTGTCGGTGGGAGGATCCGGCAGCAGCTACATCTACGGATATGTGGACTCAAACTACAAAGCTGGAATGAGCAAAGAGGAGTGTCTTAAATTCACTGCAGAAGGTTAGACACACATACACGCGCACACACACCAACACAGACGCGCGCGCACACAGACACACTCACATGCGCATACAGACACACACTCACACAGACACGCGCGCACACTCAGACACACTCACTCAGACACACTCACTCAGACACACGCACACAGACACACACTCACTCACAGACACACGCACACACAGACACACACTCACTCACAGACACACGCACACACAGACACACACTCACTCACAGACACACGCACACACAGACACACCAGACACACACTCACAGACAGACACACACTCACTCACAGACACACACTCACTCACAGACAGACACACACTCACACAGACACACGCGCGCACACACACACAGACACACACAGACACGCACACACAGACACACACTCACACAGACACACACACACGCGCACACACACAGACTCACACAGACACAGACACGCGCACACACTCACTCACAGACACACACACACTCACAGACACACACACGCGCACACACACGCACACGCTCACACACACACACTCACACACACACACACTCACTCACAGACACGCACACACAGACACACACTCACACACAGACACACACTACACGCGCGCACACACACACAGACACACACAGACACGCACACACAGACACACACTCACACAGACACACACACACGCGCACACACACAGACTCACACAGACACAGACACGCGCACACACTCACTCACAGACACACACACACTCACAGACACACACACGCGCACACACACGCACACTCTCACACACACACACTCACACATATGCAGTAGTGATGGGAGGAACGAAGCTTTTCAAAACTAAACTTTGAATCAGTTGAACAATCTCACAATTCATAATTTAGAAGAAGTCATTATTTAGACTTTAAATTATGACTTTAAAGCTTCAAAATGGTATAAATGCAATGAAAACTGAAACCAAATTACAACTTTTAATCTTACAATTTTGGCTTTTTTTCCTCAAATGTTTAACTATTACTCACAGTTTGGACTTTTTTTCTCTTAAATGTGATCATTTGGATTTTTTATTTCTAAATTGCAATTTTAAGGTTTTTCAAAACTTTGGATCAGTTGAATCAACTGGATCATGAAATGATTCACTGTGTCAAAGTGTCACATGCTGGTGGAAACGCAGTGAAAACTCAAGCCAAACCGCAACTTTTCAATCTTAAAATTTGGACTTTTTACTTCTTGAATATGCATCTTGTCCATTACCATTTGGATTCTTTTATCTCTAAATTGCAAATTTAAGGTTTTTCGAAACGTTGAATCAGTTGAACCAAACGCTTCGCAAAATGATTGTTTCGCGGCGCCCCACACTGGTGAAAACAGTGTAAGTGCAATGAAAACTCAGACAAAACATGCATGAAAACACACTTACAAACCAATTTCAGATGTTTTATTGGAATCTGTTGAGTGTATTTAACAAACAGTGTTGGGAAGGTTACTGTGGAAATGTAATCGGTTACAGATGCAGTTAGTAATGTAACTATTTCAGGTACTTTATTGAAATAATGTAACTGGTTACTTTTGTAAATAAATTCTGATGAATGTTTTCAAACATTTAAACCAGGCTGATTACGATCAGATTTTTAAAATGCTTCTTCACTTGAGATTATAATATATCATTTAATTTAGCACTCGTTTTAAAAATTAAAAAAGAATTATAATAAAAAAATAGCATTTTCATTTTGCATTTTAATTTTTAATGTCACATTTTTCATAGAAATGTTTGCATTTATTTTGCATTTTGAATTTCACACTTTATTTAACTTTTGCATTTTAATTTTTGCATTTTGCTTTTTTTATTTTTTAATAATATCTTTAATTTCCACTGAAATATTTGCATTTATTTTGAATTTTGAATATCACACTTTGCTATTTAACTTGGTATTTAAATTTTTGCAGTTTGCATTAAACATTTTGCTTTCATTTTGCATTTTGAATTTCACTTTTTGCTTTTTAGTTTTTGCATTTAGCATTAATCTAGTGTTTTTGACAGTTAGAGTAAGATGACTGATGCGCTTCTGTTTACCCGGCGGCTCCAGTGTGCTGATGTGATTGTGGCTCAGGTCCAGCTCGTGCAGCTCTGTGAATCCAGAATACATGGACCAGGACAGAGAGGTGAACTGGTTTGAGTGAGAACCAGGACCGGTGTGTCTGTGTCGATGCCGGCGGGAACAGCTGTCAGTCCCTGACTCACGCAGCTGGCGCGGGGCCGATGGTCCTGGTTCCTGTCGCTCTGACAGCTGCTGCTCCTGACCATGAAGCTCCGCATCAGGAGGAAGACCAGGATGATGAAGTGTGGCACGATGAAGGCTGCCGGATATTAAGACACTGTTGAGCAAAACTGTCACATGTTAGAACTTCATAAAACAGCATGTTTATGCCAAATTTTACTACAAAATCAAGAAAGAAAAAAAAGACTGATAACACTATTTGTCCATTGTGACATATTTAACAATTGCACATTTTTATTACAAGTTCTCTTTAAATGTATTCTGTAAATGTAAAACTGGATTATGTTGTCATTTTATAAATGTTAATTTACTGTAAATTTCATATCAATTAGCTTTAAAAAAAATAAAATAATAATAATTGTATTCTTCAAGGATGCATTAAATTGATCAGAAGTGCCAGTAAAGACATTTATAATGTGACAGGAGATTTCTATTTCAAATAAATGCTGTTCTTCTGAACTTTCTATTCATCTGTGAATCCTGAAAAATACAATGTATCACGGTTTCCACAAAAATATTGTGCAGCTCAACTGTTTTCAACATTGATAATAATCAGAAATGTTTCTAATAATCAGCATATTATTATGATTTCTGAAGATCATGTGACACTGAAGACTGGAGTAACGATGCTGAAAATACAGCTGCAAACAAGTGCAGCCCTGCTGAGCACAAGAGACATTAAAAATCTTAATTATTCCACATTTTTTAACGGTGGTGTACATTTTGAAATTAAGATGATTTTCTTCCCTGCAGAACGAGATTTTTAAGAATGAACGCTTAAATGTTCTTAAGCACAATGAAAATGTCACAACACACAAAAAAAACGATAAAGACATTTCTTTTGCGAGATACTAAAATAACTCATTGTGCATAATTTATAATAATAGTTTGGCAACACTTTATTTTAAGGTGTCTTTGTTACACACGTTACATGTACTTACTGTTATAATAACAATTAATTATGCATAATTACATGCAACCCTAACCCTAACCGTACAGTAAGTACATGTAGTTTACTCAGTACTTAAATGTGTAATTACACTGGAACAAGAACACCTTAAAATAAAGTGTAAGCAACAGTTTTAATAGTAAAAGCCCTGGTAAAGAGAGCACCACTGGAGTAAATGAGCAGTACCTGTGAAAGTAAACCACAGGCGCCTCCATACACCAATCAGCTCTTCTTGGGTTTCCTGGAAGACGCTCTTTTCTATAACGACTGAAACCTACAGCAGTTATTATTAGTGTAAAATGTGTCAAGTCATATTTCCGAGTAGTGAACGGTTTAGCAACAAGGACTAGATGAGTACATGTTCTGAATGAAGAGTGAGAGCCAAACTGCTTGTAAAATGACGTCGCTGTTGGACGTCCGATCCGGGACTTCTGAACCGTTTTGATCATTCTAAAACTACAACAGCTTCTGTCAACAAAAACACTAGAAACTGTCGTCTTTATACACACATTGTGATTTATTGACATTTTGACAGACATCTTTAAAACTCCAAAATAACTCGAAACCAAAAAAGAGCAACAGAAGAGCAGATAAACAGAGGTTCATCATCGTGTTGGAAACGACGTCAAAGTCGACCTCAAAACAGTGAACGGTGCATGAGTGTGTGTTTGTGCAAATCCACTCCTCGCACACAAACACACACTACTCAAGTCAATCATAATCAAACTGAAGAAGAGAAAACTAAAAAAAACCTCGTCATCATCAAACACAATCAGCAGATTGTCCAGAAGGGCTAGAAAAGGTCTTTAATAACCCCGCCCACCTGCCACGCAGTTACCATGACGACACCGTGCAGCCTCACACAAGCAGGCCTGATCTAAATCTGCCTCAAAAATAACGTCAAACCGGATCAAACCACTGTCTGTGGCACAAAGGCACAGGAATCATAATCCGAATAAATAGTCAAAATATTTCTGCCATCTGATTGAGTTTCAATCCTAAAAAAACACCAACTCTAAAACTCACACAACTTGCATCTTCACTCCACGTGTCCATTTCATTGACCTTTGAACTCTCACATCACCTTCACCATCAGCATCTGTTAGTAAACTCCTTCCAGCCCTACACACTCGTGCATTTCTCATTTCTCTCCTCCCAATCATTTGATTCAGCTGGTTCGTTTTAATGAACTGGTTCTTGATTCGAGTCATTCCGTGATGGGTATTTTTCTCAGCTCTGCTTCACTGTTCATTAACTGAGCTGTGAATCGCCGAGTGTGATGGAATCTCGTGTAGTTTAACATTGATCACCTGGCTCAGTTTATTACACTAAAGACCATTCCTGCAATGCTGAGTTTGGTTGAAAAGACCAGTTGAAAGACTGAAATAAGATGAAAGGTGAGTCAAATGATTCTAGCAGCATCTGAACATGTACTGAGGAACCAACTTCCTCAGATCAGAGTTTGGGTCAGTAACTAGTCTCGGACCGCCCACACATGCATATTGCACTTAAAATAATGAGAGCTTTGCAAAAACCACAAGCTGTAGTCTGATTGGATGACCAGGAGTCAGTGTGCACAAGACTAAAGGCCGTTCACACCAAGAACGATAACTATAACGATAGCGATAGTAGCGTGCTCACCAGTGGACGATAACATTCTGTTTATTGTAAGCGCTGCTGTTTTGTCGTCTGTCGCTTTAAATGCTCGAGCTCGGATGGATTCTGATTGGCTGTCAATGTTTTTGTCGTCCATCAACTGGAAAAAACATTGTTTTGAAAGTGATTCCAATGATATCGTTCCTCTGTCATTATCATTATAGTTGTGATGCGGACTTGTTCAAAAATTTGCATACTGAAAAAGGCCGTCTGTCCATCATTATCAAAAGTGTAGGGATACATAAATGACTGCTCAAAGCCAGGTCACATTTGCGATTTTTTGGCGAAATTTCACAGATGGAAAAAAAGGTCCATTGTTTCTTACAAACCAAGAAATCACTTTCAATCCAAGCAGCTTTTTGTTGGTCAACGCGGCAAATTTGCGAGACCAACTTGAACCAGTTGCGAAATCTGCGTGGGGAAATCTTCCGCGTAAAATTCCCAATCGCGTAGATTCCTATTAAAACGACTTGATTTCACCTGCAAAAATGTGGGGAACTAATCGTTATAGTTGTGATGTGGAGTTCTAATTAAGTGATGGTTACATTAGCAAAACATATTCAAAATGTAACAAACTTTACATAAAACACTGTTTAAAGCAAGTTCACATTTGCGAATTTTTGGCAAAATTTCGCAAACTAAAAAAATGACCATTGTCTCTTACAATCCAAGAAATCACTTTCAATCCAAGTTTTTGTTGGTCAACGCGGCAAGACCAACTTGAACCAGTTGCGAAATCTTTCGCTCTCATGCGAAATTCCCAATCGCGTAGATTCCTATTAAAACGACTTGATTTCGCCTGCAAAAATGTGCAGAACTACAGTAAATGTGAGCTCACCTTAAGAGCTAATATTAAACCTTCATCATCATAGTTATCTCTCTCGTCGCAAACAGGTCTTAACTGTCACTCAAGCGCTCTCTTCCTGTCAAAAGTGGGCGGTTCTTGGCCAGAATGAACTCTTTCTGCTGATAATCTGGCTACACGAGACTGTTAACTAACCCATCAAAACAACACGGCTTGTATTTCATGAGATCGTAAGTGAAGGACAGTAAAACGACGGACTCGCGCACACATCAGACGGGCGTTTCTTTGCTCTTCAGGTCGGGGGCGCTGTACTGCCGTCTCATGCGCGGCGGCGTGACGTAGCCATGTGGTTTTTGGTTTCTGCCGCGCTGTTGATCGGAAAGTGTGTGCGGTAGAGTCTGGAAAGCGGGCCACTGATGATTGATGTACGGTTGTGCGTACGCCCCCTCCCCGCGCACGCAAGGACCCGGCGACTGTCGCCGATAGCGACCGCGTTCCGAATGCTGCGCACCGCTATTGTTGTGGTGCCCGTTGCTATAGTAACCCTGGTTGCCAGGCACGGTGGAGCCGTCCAGTGAGTTGCGCCTGTAGCGCCACTGTTGCTGAGGAAACGGATTTCCGTTGCCATAGTTACCGTTGCCGTATTGGGGAGGTTGCCAGGGGTGACTGGGGGAGGGCGCGCGCATGACGAACGGCACTTGGAACTGTAGAGGAAGTAACGGCATGCCGGGGGCGGGGCCTCGTCCCTCGTTGCGCTCATCCTTGAGATCGTCCAGAGTGACGGATGCATTCGGGCCCCAGGAGAGCCGGTGCTGTGGGTTGCTCTTAAAGGGGAATTTCAGCTTGCAGTCCTGAGGGGGAATGAAGCGACCCGTTCCAGGAAGGTGGACCACGCCCTCCCCGCCCCCGGCTCCGCCCCCTCTGCGCAGACGCTTGGTGATCTGCTGCTGCTGCAGGTTGTGCAGACGCAACTGCTCCTGTTTGATCCAGCGCATGCGGCCCCTCCGGAAGGCGGGGTCTTCTTCCATCAGCCGTGACACTCGCTTCTCTTTGGGGAGGGGCTCCAGAGAGCCACGCCCATCCTGCTCATCGCCCCGCCCCTGATCGCCGTATGCAGGCAGTTCCTCTGATTCATCGTCATTATCCTACACAAACCACAATCATGTCATCCATTACTGTCTCCATTCAGAATTGAGTTGAGAATGCCTTTAAATTCCAACTGAATTTCGAAATTTGATTTAAATTTGAATTGATGTAACAAAAAGGATGAAAGCAAAACTGTCATTTTTAACTACAAGGCGTGTCAAGATAATCTCATCCTGAGGGGGAATGAAGCGTCCCGTTCCAGGAAGGTGGACCACGCCCTCCCCGGCCCCGCCCCCGGCTCCGCCCCCTCTGCGCAGCAGCTTGGTGATCTGCTGCTGCTGCAGGTTGTGCAGACGCATCTGCTCCTGCTTGAGCCAGCGCAGACGGCCCCTCCGGAAGGCGGGGTCTTCTTCCATCAATCGTGACACTCGCTCCTCCTTAGGGAGGGGCTCCAGAGGGCCACGCCCATCCGGGTCATCGCCCCGCCCCTGATGGCCGTTCACAAGCAGTTCCTCTGATTCGTCATCATCATCATCATCATCCTACACAAACACAATCATGTCAACCATTACCGACTCAACTCAGAATTGAGCTGAGAATGCCTTTAAATTCCAACTGAATTTCGAAATTTGATTTAAATTTGAATTGATGTAACAAAAAGGATGAAAGCAAAACTGTCATTTTTAACTACAAGGCGTGTCAAGATAATCTCAGAATATTAGAATGTTGTTGTTTTTTTTTAAAGCCTTAAAGTCTGAAGGTTTATTGGCCTTAAAGAGAAGGAAAGAAACAAAGAAACACAAAAAAGAAAAAAAGAAAGAACAAAAAGAAAACAATTAACAAAAAATGTAAAAGAACGAAAAAAGAAACAAAACTAGAAAAAGAAAAAAGAAAGAAAAAACAAAGAAACAAAAAAAGAAAAACTGGAGAACAAAAAAGAAGAATATCAAAACAAAGAAAGCAAACAAAAGAAAGAAAAACAAAAAGATTGAAAGTGTTTGAAATGTCCATGTACTTTTGCATCCATTAATTTTTCCTTTTTTAACCATGACAAACAAAAAGAAAGCTTGTTGTATTTTTAAATGCTGTGATGAAAACCAAAATTGAAATTAGAACCGTACACACAGAATGCTGCCCAAAAAAGTAAAATATCAACTTATTTCAGATTTTGCACCTTTAATAAACATTTGAAAACTGCACAAATTGATATAAAAAAATGTCAATTTCAACAAGTTTTATTTGGCCAAATTAGAAGTAATGCTTCTCCCGCAACAATGCAGAGACTTAATACAAATATGATTTTAAAATAGACATTGTAGAATCCTGGGAACTTTATCATCATGAAATTATATTTTGGGGTATAATTTTGTCATAATTGGGTCACGGTATTGGAGAGGAGCATGCATGGCCACGCAAAGAACGTACAGTACATCGTGTTAAGAGCGCTGTGCACGAGGCTTTGATATACGGGGAAAATATAGAAATATATAAAATTATAATTTCTCCTACTTCTCCAGATAAATATTTCTACCCTGTCCACTGATAGGGACATCCGCATATATATGCCATATATACAGTATATATATATATACGCCACACCCGAAACTTTGCAGCGTGTGAGCGTCCTCTAAGCATCATGAAAAACAAAACTTATTCAAATTCTGAATGGATTAGCCAAGAAAGCACGCAAAGAGCACTTTCTTTATAATAATTAAAAAGCTGTCACTCATTTCAGTTTATCGCGATCTCACAAAGTTAATTAATGAAGCTCTACACTGCACAGTGAATCTCTTATTCACATCATGTTACACTTTTTGTTATACAGAGACTCCCGATCGTGTCGCACTGAACAAAACTGTGGCGTGCAGTGGATTCTAACTTAAAACGTTCAGGAAATCAACAGCAAATGTCTGTGATTGGCTACTGATCAGTGCTACAAAAACACGTTGAAAATAGAAACCTTTGAAGCACTCATACAAGAACACATACATGTTTCTAGGCGTGAAAAATTATCAAGATAAAAATATCGAAGCTAACGGCTTTCGTAAAGCAATAGGTTACTGGTAGCCACGTCAGTAGCGCGAGAGGGCGCTTAGCACTATAGACTCTGGAGATGCTAAAAAAACTAGAAATTAAATTTAGCATTTATTTACATTAAAAAACAAGATTTATATCCTTTTTTCGATTTTTAATGAAATACGGATTTTGAATAATGAAAATGAGTTTGTGTCTGCTTATTCTATTCATCAGAGTTTGAAACATTAAAGAAGAAATGGCGCTTTCCGTATTTCATTTCTGGGTTAAAAAACTAAAAAGAATGGACGCAAAAGTGCACTGACCTGGTTTATTGGCCTTACAGAGACAGAAAGAAAGAAAGAAAGAAAATGAAACAAACAAAAAGATAAAAAAGGAAAACAAAAAAAGAAAAAAATAAACAAAAAAGAAAAAATAGAAAGCAAAAAAAAGAAAAGAAAAACGAGCCAAAAAAATGGAAAGAAAAAAGAAAAACAAACAAAAAAAGAAAGAAACAAGAAAAGAAAGAAAATGAAATAAAGAAACAAAGCAAGAGAACGTAAGAAAGAAAAACAAAAAACAAACAAAAAGAATGAAACAAAGAAAGCAAACGGGAAAAAGAAAAACAAAAAGACTGAAAGTGTCTGAAATGTCATCTACTGTAAATAAATTTGTAAATAAGTTTATATATTTCATCACAAGTTTGAAGAAACTTTAATTTCTTTTGATACATCACCTGCTGGATTTTTTAAACAAAGTTCAGTAATGCGTGTGTGTGTGTGTGTGTGTGTCTGAGTGTGTGTGTGTGAGTGTGACTCTGATCTCCTCGTCCTTCATGTTGTTCTGCTCTTTGACCTCCTGCAGGATGTCGGTCAGTTTGTGGACGTGCGCTCTGAGGTCACACACACCGCTCTCTCCGTCTGTCGTCTGCAGCGTGCGCTCGTCTGCGATGCCCACCGTGTCCCACACGTCCTGCGCCACCTCCCTCCAGGCCTCGCTCTCGGCTGCGTCTCGTTTGCCGTACATGCGGCAGAGCTCCTTCATCTTGACGATGGCCAGCGCCTCCATCTCCTGCCGCGAGTGTCTGAACTCTCCGAGCGCCACCTCGTAGCAGATCTCCTTCACCGCCTGCAGCTTCAGGTCGCTCATGGTCACCTGCTGGGGGTCTTTGCTGATGCGTCTGCGCTGCGGGATCTGATAGACGCGGAGCGGCTCGCGCCGTTTGCCGCTGCTGGGTAAACCGCAGCGCTTCACTATGGACTGAACCTGAAACACACAGGAAACACACACGAGGAACATAAGACGTCTGTCCTGTATTCACAAAACATTTGTGACCCTGGACCACAAACCAGTCATAAGGGTCAATTTTGTGAAATTATAAATGCGCTTTCCATTGATGTATGGTTTGTTAGGATAGGACAATATTTGGCTGAGATACAACTATTTGAAAATCTGGAATCTGAGGGTGCAAAAAAATCTAAATATTGAGAAAATCATCTTTAAAGTTGTTCAAATGAAGTTCTTAGCAATGCATATTACTAATAAAAAATTAAGCTCATTTTCAAATTCTTTTTTTTATTATTATTAACAAGCCCAAAATACACCAGGACTCTTATTTTGAAATGTCTCTGTTTTTCTGGTACCTTGTTAGCTGGTAGTTTCTCTCTCAGGGACGAAATGAGTCTCCAGCTCTCTTCACATGAGCGTTTGTCAGAATCATCTCCACTGTCTGAATCTGCGTACTGAACACACTCACACACACAGAGACATAGACACAGACACACACAAACACACACACACACACACACACACACAGACACACACATAATAGTGTGACTCACAGTTAGCAGACCTTTATCATGTAATACTGCTGGAATAGTTTTGTACTGATATATACTACCGTTCAAAAGTTTGGGGACAGTAATTTTTTTATACTTTTATTCATCAAGGATGCATTAAATTGATCAAAAGTAACAGACATTTAAAATGTTACAAAATATTTCTATTTAAAAATGCTGTTATTTTGAACTTTCTATTCATCTGTGAATCCTGAAAAATAAAATGTATCACGGTTTCCACAAAAATATTGTGCAGCACGACTGTCTTCAACATTGATAATAATCAGAAATGTTTCTTGAGCAGCAAATCAGCATATTAGAATGATTTCTGAAGATCATGTGACACTGAAGACTGGAGTAATGATGCTGAAAATACAGCTTTGATCACAGAAATAAATTACAGTTTAACACATTCACATAGAAAACAGCTGTTTTACATTATAATAATATTTCACTGTTTTTACTGTAGTTTTTATTAAATAAATGCAGACTTGCCGAGCAGAAGAGACTTCTTTCAAAACATTTAAAACTTTTACAGACCCCAAAGTTATAAAGCTAGTGTGTGTTAATCTTGCACTTTTTAACAGGTGTGTGTGTGTGTGTGTGTGTGTGTGTGTGTGAGTGAGTGAGTGAATGAGTGTGTGTGTGTGTGTGAGTGAGTGAGTGTGCTTCGTCTTTCTCTCTCCGATACTGAATCTCCACGTCCTGTAACCTGAGAGAGACACGCGGATGGTGAATAGATCACCTCAGGAGAGGTCGACTAATAGTGGATTTTACTGATAACGATAGCTAGGTTGGACTAGGTTGATTAATCAACCGATAGTTTTTAAAATGGACACTGAACAAAAAAGATCGCACTTATTAATCAATATTGTTATTATCTTTCAAATTCTAATAAATAAACTAATAAAACAAAATGGTGCAAATAAAGTGCAACTTTGTGCAACTTTAACATTTGAAAGAATACTATGGCAAAGTTATCGCTTTCCTTATTCAAACTGATTTTATTTCATGAATATATGATTGACCTGAAGAATGAAAGCTGTATCATACACTTGGATAATTATGAGCTTTATCACGCTCTTAGACACTAGGGGTGTGACAATACACTTAATATTTTATATTTAATAATATTTATGCGTTTAGCAGACACTTTTATCCAAAGCGACTTACAGCGCATTCAGACTACACATTTTTTACCAGTATGTGTGTTCCCTGGGAATCGAACCCACGACCTTTTGCGCTGCTAACTTAACTCACTTAGCTCATGAGATGAGACAAAATACAGATGCTTGGTTCACTAGAACGAAACAATATTTTAATACTTTAAGAAATTTTCAAATGACAAAATGTTTGTCTTTTAATCACAAAAAGTAAAACAATGCAGTATGATGACGTATGGCGGATATACCTTCCCTAGCGAGCACAACAACAACACCACAAACCCAATAGGTTTGTTCGACTTGAAGCAGCGCTGCGCAGACTGATCGGTGTACTGCATCAAAGTATCGCAAGAGACCGGTTCTAGAGCATATTTGAGCACATACTCTTACCGTCAAAAATAGGCAAGGCGCATATCTTTAGCGAAGCGGCGCGGAGAGCCGCTTCTGGAACGCTTCTAAAACGTGCCGCGGCGCCGCTGGTGTAAACACAAGCATTGACCAGAGTGGCCGCATCAGAGCCGTAAAGGCACGGATATACTTCACATTCCGCGTTCCGTCTCGCGCACAGCCGCGTCCGCACAAAAGTATACTCAACCGCGGATGAGCGCGGACGGATGAGCTCGACACATGCGCAGTACCACTTTTACTCTGTCTCAACATATCTCTGTTGTACACGCACCGTCCGCGCAGTCTCAAAAAATTGTCTGCACACGGACGGGGTGCGCGGCTGTCCGCGAGCCCTCTTGATGACCAAAATGACGTAATGCGGCCAGCCGAAGTATTCGCTTGATAGTTTTCCGGGTTGCATCTATTGCTGGAGCGGCTGAGAAGATCCGCTGTTATTATACAGAGCGAGAGCGGCCTCTAGAGGAGAATCACTGACACCTCTGCTGTTTGTTTTGACACGTGATTCTGTGCACTGCACAGAGCCGGACACTTCAGACGCCGATTTAAACACAGCCGACAGAAAATCCTGCCGCGCCACATAGTTTTCCATTTAAATTACAATTTTCAGGGATTAAAGATCTCCGGCACCGTGCCGGATCTCCGGCGTGCGCCGTTTGGCTGCAGGAAAAAAAAGTCGTCCTACATTTAAAAACACTTGTTGATGTTACGTTCGAGTTCATGAGTTCGCCGACCAATGTATACCACGAAGTATAACTATGTGTGTGTGTGTGAGTGTGTGAGAGTGTGAGTGTGTGTGTGTGTGTAAGTGTGTGAGAGTGTGAGCGTGTGTGTGTGTGTGAGTGTGTGTGTGCGTGTGTGTGTGTGTCTCACCTCCTCTCCATCTCCAGCTTGATGTCGATGCCCTGTTTCTCCAGCAGCTCTCTCTGAGCGTAGTTCCAGTCGGCCGGCTCTCCCTGCTGCTCCACACAGCTGCTGCGCTCGCGCTCCAGACGCGCCTGCTCCGGGTGATTGAACCTGAACACGTGGCTCTTGCCCATCACGATGCGGTTTCCTGCGTCACGAGAGGTCCAGCTCAGGGTCACGTGATCATTCGAACACATTTACATAGGACTGGGCCATTTTTCAGATGAATTTGAATTTAATGTTTTGCCACGATTAAATTTTTTAGCTCGTATCGCTAGGCGCCATTCACACAGAATGCGCTTTTGTGTTGATAGAGACGTGGCGCAGGCAGTGGAAGAGGAAACACATGCAAGAAGATGGGAGTTAAACTTCTTTTAGTTTGAGCGGCATGTTTTTAGTCTGTCGTTTCATGCATGAGACGCGAGCGCAACAGTCAAACGCATCCATGTTTACATAGAAAAACAATGGAAAAGCAGCACAATCAAATAAAAAACCTGTAACTTCTACTGTATGTCTGATATTTCATGTTTGCATCACGGTGACAGACTGAAAGCTGCTGTTCATTGTTTTTACAGAACATTTATAGTTAATAATACTCTACTGCTGTTATACCTTCAGTCATTCTGAATTTGAATTACCTTGACTTTCGAGAATTTTTTTTAAAGCATTTTCCTCGCATTATTTCTGAACATATAATATGTATAAGACAAGTTTGTACAATATGTAGTTGTAGTTCATGCATCTTTTCTGCAAAGATATTTAACAAGTGATTTGTTTAACATTTACTTCATGTGTGCTGCACTCGGAACAGAATTTTCTTTAACTAAAGAGTTAATAAAGAACATGTTATTTGAATCATGTTGTAGTTACATTTTCAAGTTGACTAGTTAAAAATAAAAAAATAAAAAAGATTTTAAGTCTTATATTTTGGGGATGGAAAACATAAATCGCGATATAACCTATCGATTATTAAACTTCAAAATGATTTAATAAAAAAAAAAGAGCGCTGCACGTTGCAGTGTCACAAGGCGGCGCTGTGACTGCTTCAAAGTGATTCTCAATCAATGAAGAGCGCACATTTATGCCAAGCGATTGCTTATGAACTCGAGTTGATGAATTATGACAATGCCTACTTTATGACCTTTATATAATGTTTTAGACGGTTGTAAGAATGCATATTTTCTCTCTCATCTGAAGGATCAGCCCGCAATAGTGTAGTCATTTCAAAATAAGAGTCCCGGTGTATTTCGAGCTTGTTTATAATTAAAAGTCACACTTTACGTTTATTTTTTTTCTGGGCATTATTGGTATTTTGGTTACACAATTAATTATATTTAATTTAATTTCCATTTAATTCATAGTAAACTATTGTAGTTTCTGGCTGGGGTGCTTCCCCACAGTTAGAAAAGACTAAGAACATTATTTGACACAAATTATTCAATATATAGATTTTATACTATATGACAAAGTAAGGAGAACTCTACCATTTAAATGCTGTAATTTTGCATAATTTACAATGCATATAATAATGCATAATAGTAATTAAATGTAATAGTAGCCTATGTAATTGTATTAGTTTTTGCTTAAAACAAGCAAAAGCATCTGCCAATGGTGTAAGAAAAATAATCTTAATTCAAAGGCTAAACAAGATTATTTTTATTACCTCACTGGCAGATGTTTTTGCTTGTTTTAAGCAAAAACTAAAACAATTTGGATAATATTTTCAGAAAACGAGACAAAATATCTTAAGTCATTTTACTTGTCAAGTAAATGCATCTTAATCCCAGAATCTTTAGATATTTATACTAGAAAACAAGACAAAATACTAAGGAAGAAAATCATTTTTTTTGCAGTGTAGAATAAGTGATTGATCATAAAGAGGCAAATAATATATAATACAAAGTGTCAGGCATTGTTCAGATGAGTACAAGCTAGACAGAGAGAGATTAAGGAAAGAGAAAGCAAGTGTTTTTTTGACGAACGAGACACACTCACCCTGTCTGAGCAGCACACACTCGGTGATCTGCTTCCCGTTCACATACGTCTCTGCTCCCTCCAGCGGCTCCAGAGTCACGGCCACTGCGCACACAGAGGAAGTGATGTCATCACGGTGCATACGGAGTGCTAATGAGGGCGGGGCTGATTGAAGAAGACTCCGCCTCCTGTAGGCCTCACCCACACCGGCTCAAACAGCACTTATGAATCATTTGGTTTTTGCTTTGTATCGATCAAGTTTAAAACAAACAGGAAGCAGTCAAATGAGATGGAGCAGCTTTCACTGGTCAGGGACTGATTTACATGCAAATAATGTCATTTATCCGTTTACTGTGATTTTAAATGAGCTGGGTGTGATGGAAGACTCCTCTGCTACTGAATTTGTCAATACAAATGTACAGATTCACGTCATGCCAATGAAGCACATGAACACAGAGAAACTCACAGAAGACACACAGACTGTTTATGTGGTGAAATAGGAAAATACATGACATGTATAAAGGTATAAGACTGTGGAGGAGGAGTGCTGAGGAAGGACAGATGAAGGAGCTCGAGATTGATTTACAGATGATACCTGTGTCAAATCCCAGCAACTGTTCCACCGACAGAGAGAAAACCAGCACAGTACATGAGTGTGTGTTACTGACACACACACACACACACACACACACTCTTACCTTCTCCGTTCTGGTTGATGTAGCTGTAAAACACACAGTGCTGCTCTTTAATGAACTGACCACTGAGCTTGATGTCCACATCCTTCTGACCAACTCTGACAAACACACACACACACAGATGAATATCAGCACATAAGCAATCATCAGCTCAATTATTTACTGAAATACCACATCACAGTATTTAAATCTTTAAAAAGATTAAATTTTACAATACATATTTTCAAAGTGATTGGATATCTGTCACAATCTCACAAACATCCTGCAGCTCTGTAATGGAGTCTGAACTAGGGATGTTCATTTTAACCAGTTAACCGTTAACTGACCATAAGAATTTTGACCGATTAATACAATCAGTTAAACGGTTTAAAAAGTATTTTTTTTCAGTAATTTATAAAAATATTTAAAAAGGTTTGCTGCATGGTTAAAATACGCTACGCACATATAAAAAAAATTGTTTTTTAGAGAGAAAAAAAACAAGTCGCGTATAAGTCGCATTTTATTATTTCATTCAGAAATAGGCCTAATGCCGACGCGAAATGTTTACAAACATTATAATAAACACTGTAAACATAGCTAGGCTATTTTAGTTCCCCTCACTCCACAACAAAGCCTTTCAATTAACAGTATTTAGAAAAGAAGAAGAATTAAAAATATAAGAAGCTATAGCAATATAAACAACAAGCCAAAACGAATTCATTTAGGGCTAAAACGACACAAAATCAAATGTTTCCGTATTCACAATGTATTTGAATGGCAAAATATTATTTATTATGTAGCCTACTTCACTCGCGTTCCAATATCCACGTAAAACTAAATGTTTTGCATAACATCACGGCGGTACGGTGATAACACTTAACGGCACAGATTTCACCACATATTTGAACTGAGTAGTGTGTTTTTCCATATGTTTGACTGACTGTATTGTATGATGATAATGAACAGGCTGCATTAAGGTAGCAATGCTTAACTGTGCGCGCATGCGGCGCCGGCGCAATCACTTGAA